ACCCTGCCTCTGCTCCCTCCCTCCCCCCCAATCCCAATTCCTGCTCTGCCCTGTTGTCCCCTGATATGAACCAGGTGTCACTGGGTGGCTTGATGTGGGGCAACAGCAGGGGGTCGGCCCCCATTCCTGCACTCGCTGTGGTGGTGGGATCTGAAGTGGCCCGGCAGCCTGCTCTACCCCGCCACCCTCTCCTGGCCGAGGGCACTCCCGTCTGGAAGATCATGGGATGGCAGAGTTGGAGCAGGGACTTCCTCAGCATCCTGGCTGGAGCAGCCTCTGTCGCTGGTGCGCCCAGGAGCTCAGAGGCCGGGAGCCAGCAGTGAGGTCCCGCATAATCCGGTTAACTGGTGAAGCTTTAGGTTAACTGGACATTTGACTGGTTAATGGGATTTTGCAGCCCTCACACAGCACGGTGCTGCGCTGGGCGAATGAATCGCAGGCTGCCCAAGGGGATGAGAACGCCGGGTTACCACAGCCCAGGAGCAGTTACAATTCCAGGTGTATGCTCCCCCAGATCCAGGGCTCCCTTGTCCCTCGCTGGTCTCCAGCCACATCACAGCTCCGCCCTGCCCAGTTAATGAGGCTGCACTGGTGTGAGGCCTTTGCTGTGAGGGAGGCCGCCTGGGGAGAGGAGAGCATGGATCTAGTTCCTGGCCAGGATCTGGGTCTGGGGTGCTGTGTAGCGATGTTCCCGCTCCAGCTCCTAGCACCCACTGGCTGAAGGGACGTGACACCTGAGCTAACACACGGGAGTGGAGACGCCCTGAGTGGCTGCAGGAGGCAGAGCCCCTGCTCAGAGCCGGGCACCTCTGCTCCCATGGTGCCTTTGGGGCTGGCAGAGCTGAGCAGCAGCCTCCTTCCAGGCCGGGTCCCTGTGTTTGCATGGAAGGCCAGAGTGTACGGCACTCGCCACCTGTCAGACAGGCAGATAACAGCTGTTTGTCCCCCACGATGCCCTGCAGGAGAAACTCCAGAGGGCCCTGGACCTGCTCAGGAAGCAGCTGGAGGAGGCCTTGGTGCTGACTTCTAAAGAAAAGGAGAAAACCACAGAGTGGCATGTGGGTGTCTGGGTTTCTCTCCCTGAACCCTTCCCCTGACAGCGCTCCCGGGGTGAGAGGCAGTGAAGCTCTAGGACGCAGGTGTGAAGCTTCTCTGGTTCCTTGCTCCATGATGCAGGAGTGGTGCTGGCAGCATCAGGCTTTGTCACTGGGGGGTCTCAGCACAGCAGCTCTTGACCCTGGTGAGGTGATGCAGACCCACTCCTGTGCTCTCTGACAGGGACACACTCGCAATAGAGGGCACAGTGTTTTCATTATATCACGGATCTCATTTCACTCCCACAGGTGCAGGGGGCTGTCACGTTACCGAATTTGAGGGGAGCAGCCAGATCACTGCTGCACCCCACCGCTGTATGAGGTCCGGGGCCATGTGGGGCACGGATATTGCTGGGGTGTCGGAGGGGTTTTGCTCGTGAGGCTTCAGGCAGGCAGCTGAAGCGCTTTGTGGGTCTGGTTTGTGGCCTGTTTGGGAAGGTCACCAGTCTGGGGGATGTAAGGAGCCCTGAATTTGAGCAATTCGCCCTGAGCGGACGCCCTCAGCTGTGCCCAGATTCGGCCTGGGCCCGGGCCAGATACTAGAGCTGGGCAGAGGATTTGCCCCGATGAGAGAGGTTCAAAATCACTCAGCCGGTTGGCTGGGGCATGCTGGGAGCTGAGCTCTTCTGAGCATTGAACCCAGCTGCGGGTGCTGAGTCTTTGCGGAATGTGCCCCAGGGTGCGTCTCTGCAGGGCACCCACAGCCAGATGGGTCTAGCACCTGAGTCCTTGCCCAGGGGCCTTGTGGGCTTGTCCGGCCACTGCTGCTGCAACTCCCCTGCTACCTGCACCTGAGCTAAGCTAGATCAAGGCTAGCTGGGGTGTGTCTGCACAGGGTGCTATCACACCTCCCCTGCAGCTGGGACACCCCTAAACGAGCAGAGCCAGGGGGCGGGTCACTGTGAAGCCAGGCAGAGCATGGTCACCTCACAACCGCTGCTGCTATCATGTGGCCACCTCATCCCAGTCACCTGCTGCTGCTCCTGTGACTGTCGCTGGCCTTGTCTGTAGCCCGGGGATAAACCCCTGGAGAAAATGGGTGCGTGTGTGAGAGAGACACCAACCAGCAGCCAGGGTGAGAGGAGACGAGGGTGTCTTACTAGACAGGTAGAAATGGCTTTATACCAGGACTGAAATGCACAGAGCTGGGTGCCTCTGGTTCTGCATCTGACGTATTCAGAGCCCTGCAGCCAGGGGCTGATTTGTAGACGACTGACCCACAGGCGCTCCTGTGGCCTGCACCTGGAGCCCCCTGTAAATCTCTCCTCTTCCCCCTCATTTCTTCCCACTCCCCTGTGTGCATCCCATGGCACCTGCAATAACAGTCTGCAGCTTTACCTAGCACCCTGGACAACCCCACTGACCAAACCCCAAAACTTTATGGTACGTTTCCCAAAGAAGGAAGTTACCTACAAACCAGACACTGATGTAACATTTCCTGTGTCATGGGCTGAGGCCCCATCTGTATCTGTAACTCAGCATCTGACCTGTGTCTTCCTTTCTCCAGAGGAAAGTGCAGGCGAGGCGGGAGATGATTGCCGGTGAATTTAACAAGCTGCACATCCTCCTGAGGGGGGAGGAGCAGCTGCTTCTGCAGAGGCTGGTGGAGGAGGAGAGGGAGACTCTGCAGAGGCTACAGGAAAATGTCTCCAAACTCTCCCAGCAAAGCGCCTCCCTGCAGCAGCTGATCGCAGAGATCGAGGGGAAGTGTCAGCAGCCGGTTGCTGAGCTGCTGAAGGTGAGACGGTGTCAAAACTCTGCCCCCAGCCAGAATTACGGCTTGGATCTATGGGTTTGGAGCCCAGGAGTGAGAGTAAATGTACTATGTGCAGTGCTCACAGGCAGTATCCAGCCAAGGGCTCCATCAGCTCCAAACATTACAGCTCGAGTGGGAGGGGAATTCTGATCATGGAGGTCCAGGGAGGCCATGGGAAATTAAATGGATGATGCACAATGATACGGGGCTAAACCCATCCCTGCTGTGAGTCCAGAACATTGGGCTCAACACAGTGGCTAAAAACAGTTACGGATGGGCTGGGTCCCTAGGAAGGAAAGCTACTGAGCTAAATTTCTGCCTCAATTATACAAGTGAAACAAGTACTAATGCAAAATGGTGGACGAGATTTTACCATCAAAACAATGAAGCCCAAAAGTGTTAATCTATTTTCTACATGAAAAGTTGGTGTCCAGAATGGAAAATGCTCCATTTCGTGCCCCCAGTGTTCACACAGAGCACTGATTCTCTCTCTCCTTTCAGGACGTGAAAAGCACGTTGAGCAGGTGCGTGTCCCATTTTTGCTGCCCTCGTATTCCTGGGGGGGCCCTGCGGCGATGCCAGTGCAGAGCCACTGATGATGCTGGGACGTTTGCTTCCTAGGAGTGAAAACATGAAGCTCCAGGAAACAGAAGCTGTTTCTACTGACCTGCAGCGCGGGTATAAAATTTGTCTTGATATGAGGGAAGCTCTGAACAGATTCGCAGGTGAGTGGAGCCCCTGGGGCATGGAGCTGTTTGGTGCCGGGGCTCTGGGCTGAGCCTGGGGCCCAGGACATGTGTGAACCCAGCTGGGAGCTGGGTGGTAGCTGGAGGCTGATGCACTCAGTGCTCGGGAGTCTGCCTGCTGCTCACAGCCACCTGCTGGCTCTTGCCAGGGATCTGACCTGGCCTCATCACCCCAACACTCTGACTCTCCCTGCCTGGGTCAATGGGGCTACTGAGCAGGTGCTGTGAGGCCTGGCCTGGACCCATGCGCTGGGGGCTGCACAGACAGGTCGCAGAGGATGTGTCTGTGCCTATTTCCTAGCAAATGGCGGGGGCTGGCTGACCTCTGGGTTGGGGAGGGGCCGGGCTGGGCCCTGGCCTGGGCCGTGTGTTACTGGGGAGCAAGCTGAGCCCTACGGGCCCCTCGACTGCCCAGCATGAGGCTGGTCAGTGATTTGCTGCTCAGTGAGTGAGACTCACTCACCAGAGTGTGACCCTGTCTCTGTCTGAGCCTGAGCTGCCCCTGTCCACCTTCCCCCTGAGCCGAGCATGGGGACCTGGGGCAAAGGCAGACACCTGGCAGGAAGCGGAAGCTCTGGTAGAGGGGGAGGGGGCTGGGAAGGTTCAGAGAGCTCTGGCTGGGAGTGTTGCTCAGGCCCCTTCATCCTACCCCTGCCGCTCCACCCTCCCCACCTCCCTCCAGCAGGGGCAGTGGAAGGGACCCAGCTGGGTTTGTGTCTGGGCCCATGGAGGCTGTGCAGTCGGTGGCGGCTGCAGGGCCAGGAGCTCTGGGGAGCAGGAAGCCCAGCCTGTGGGGGAAGCAGCTTCCTCTCTGCGACTGGAGCAATTCTGGTCTCCAGCTACTGCTGCTCCTCTGAGGTCAGGCTCCTTGGCCGGGGGTCTCGGCCCTTCCAGCTGCCACTTGCTCCCTGTGGGGCGGTGCCGGGCACTTGGTACGTTCGGCAGCTGTGGGTGTCTCCAGCATGTGGCTGGTCTCACCAGGCCCTGGCTCACGCAGGTGCTGGAGCTTTGTCGTCCGTGGCTGCCGGGTCTCTGGGGAGCTGGAGCAGCATTTCTTCTGCTGACTCCCTGGGCCTTTGTCAGTATCTTGGCCCATCTACTCTCCAGGGCCACACACTGGGGGCTTCTGTCCTGCCCTGCCAGTGGCCCCTGCGGCCTGTCCCTGGGTGACTGGGCTGCTCCTCTTGCTTGGGCAGGTTCAGTAAGACCCCTGCACCTGGGCCTGCAAATGGCAGAGCCGTTCAGTATCCCTGTCCGAGCACTTCTCGCACCTGGCTCCTGGGCCCCCAGAAATGCTGAATCCCAGTTAGCTTTTGCCCCAGCGCCCTGGCCCAGAGAACTGGCTGTGCCCTAGTGCTGCTGGCTCCATCGTTCCCAGGGGCGTCCTTTCAGGCTCCTGCCGGGAGCCGCTCTAGTGCCCCAGACTGCCAAGCTGTGAGTCTGGGAGTGAGGCTCAGGTATCGTTGGTGATCCATGGGGCATCTGAAACCCCTGGCTGGCCTCTCCCTCTGACCCTCTTCCGTGCAGTGTGCTGGGTTCCTGGCCAGACACCACCGTGGGAGAGTGAATGTCCCATGGGCTGGAGGGTATCTGGGCCGTGCTGCTGTCAGCCTCCTTGGCGAGCCACAGAGCTGGCAGGATGGACACCAGCTAGGCCCTGGGCCAGCCCCAGAACAGCTGTGACCTACACTCAGAGCAATGCAGGGCTACAGGGGACCTCAAGAGGTCACCTACTCCAGCTCCGCACGTTGGGGCAGAGCCTGAACCTGCCTTGAGCCAGCCACACGGAGGTAACTGCTGTAACATCCCAGCAGTGCACATTGGACTGGCCCCAAAGCACTGGGATCTGTCCTCTGTTGAGCTGGCTGCACCTGGGCCAGGAGCTGTGAGGGGTCCAGGGTGGAAGGGGGATGAAGCCCAGCCCCTGATCCGAGGGCACAGATGTGCACGTGCCAGGTGTGCAGAGCTCTCTGGGGGAGACACTTTCACGCTGACCTAGGAGCTGTGGCTGGGAGTCGCACTGCCCAGTGAGCTGAGGCTTTCACTGCTCTGCCCTGGGGGTGAAGAAAGGGGCCCTGGAGCTGCTGCTCCCCATCCCAGGAATGGGGCTCCGTGGCCAGGGCCTGCGCTGGGAGATGCCGGGGCAGCGGCAGAGAGTCTGTGCTACTCGCAGGGACCAGAAGCCATGTCGCTCTGGGCAGAGAGTTCAGGCTGGAGTCTTCGTTGGCAGCCGGGTCTGTGGGCTGAGATCAGGGCTGGGGGGATTTTCCTGGACAGGGCACATTTCACAACCGCTCTGGAGTGTCCCAGCTAGTGCCCTGCACCTGGCCTGCCCCTCACCGCGTGGGGCTGGAGCTGGGGACAGTCCCTCGCTGCCAGTCACTGGGGCCTGGATGCCTTAGCTGCTCAGGCAGGTTTGCAGAGGGGCTGGGAAATTGGGGGCTAATAGTCCATCAGCAGAACAATTCGATTTGGGGTCCAATGAAACTGTTCCCGGCCCTAGGCTGAGTTTGCTGGTGAGTGTCCTTGCATCTGCCCTCCTGGGGACTGCCCCTTCCCTCACCCCTCTGTCCCCTTGTGCCTGCTCTTCTTGCCCCACATTGGCCCGATGGATGCTCCCTCCGTTCTGCCCCTCTCCCTCTGTCCCATCATCTGCCCTTCCCCTTTCCTCTCCCAGCATTACCCTGCCCCTCCCCCCACTGACAGCTTCCCACCCCTCCCTGGCTCCTCCTGCCCTTTTCCTGCTCTTTTTCTCCTCCCAGGCAGAGGGGCCCTGACTCCCCTCAGACATACCCCCACCACCCCCTGCACAGTGATTAACGTGGGAGGCTGGCAGGTTAATTTCCCGCTGACCCCAGGGACCCTCCTCTGCCCCTGGCCCTGACTCTGTGACTCTCTCCCCAGTGGACGTGACTCTGGATCCAGACACGGCAAATCCCAACCTCGTCTCCTCTAAGGGTTGGAAACATGTGAGAGATGGAGACACGCGCCAAGATCTGCCCGACAACCCCAAGAGATTTCTTTATTTTCCCTGTGTGCTGGGCACCGAGGGGTTCGTGGGCGGGAGGCGTTACTGGGAGGTGGAGGTGGGAGACAAGACTGAGTGGGACCTGGGGGTCTGCAGGGAATCTGTGAGCAGGGAGGAGGAGGAGGTCACATACACACCTGGGAATGGATACTGGGTCGTGTGGCTGATGGGCGAGGAATACAAGGCCTGCACCTCCCCCCTTACCCTTCTCCCCGTGAGCGCCAGGCCCAGCCGGGTGGGTATTTTCCTGGACTACGAGGCGGGCGAGGTCTCGTTTTACAATGTGACTGACAGGTCCCATCTCTTTACCTTCACCGACACCTTCTCCGGGATGCTCCGCCCATTTTTCTGCCCTGGTTACGATGAGGCTCCTCTGACCATCTGTCCAGTGTTGGCCCAGGCAGGAGCGAATCCCTGCTCCTGACAGTGACCCCACAGCACCGACTGGCCCCTCCCAGTGCTGCTGTCCCCCCTCACAGTGATGGGAGCTGGATACTGCTGGTACCTGGATGTTTTGTGCCAACCGGTCACTGTCCATTTCCCTTTGCAACTGGAGCTTACATTGGAAAACTGGACACCTGGCAGCCCAGCCCAGGGTGGGTGAATGGGAACCCCTGGCTGGACGGAGCCCAAGCCACTTTTCTCCCCTGCCCCTGGGTTTGCTCCACCCCAGCACAGGGGTGATGCTGGTAAGAAATGCGGCCAGACAGCGGGTGGGGTTTGCTGCCCTTGCCTTGCCCCATCTCCTTCCCGAGATGAGGAGGGAGGGGACTTTCACTCCTGTCAGAGTTTTCTACTGCTGTGAAATCTCAGTGTCAAATATGAAAGAAAAAACATCTAATTTAGAAACCTGTCATTGTAACAAGGTGTCTGCACAAGAACATTTTCCTTTACAGTTCAACAGTTTTGTATTAAAAATCTATTTTTAGAAATGGAATTTTTGACCTTTTTCTTCCCTTACAGCTATATCGATGTTTGACTTATTTACAGGGCATTGTGTGTATGTCAGCTGCAGCACTTCAAGCAATCCGAAACATTTCTGTGAACACAATTCGTTATGGCATTGTCAGACTGTCATGAATCGACCCACCGTCTCCCCCCTACACCCCTGGCTCCTTGAGGTGGGAGCCGGACCGGCTCGAGTTCACAGCCCTTTGTGGGGAGGAGTGGGGAGTCCGGGCCCACCCTCTCTCCGGACCCCGACCCAGGGCCCTAACGCCAAGAGTGTGGCTCTTGGCGGTAGCAGGGGTGAGTGTACCCCAAACACACCTGCTCCCGGGATTCACGGCCCGCCCTGGGCCGCTTCCACTCCGCCAGCGTTACGACCCGGCGTCTCTCTTCTCCTCCCCTCCTACTGTCCCATGCTCCGTACTCCCTCTCCTCCCGCAGTCCTCGTTCGTGTCTTCCCCCTTCCTTGATGTCCCGTCTCCCCCTTTATACCGTCCTCCCTCCCCTGTCGTTCCCAGGCTCCCCCCACTTCCGGGTTTTCCTCCCGGCCCTGTCCGCACGCGCCCGTGACATCAGCGTCACTCCCGGGCGCACGCTGATGACGCGCCTCTTCCCCGGCGTCCAGCACCCGCGGACCCTTCGCCCTGGCCCGTACCTTGCGCCGCTGGTGAGTGGCGGGGTTGCTTCACCCCGTCACACAGACTGTTCAGTGACAATGTCCATGTGTCATAACCAGTGCAGCCACACACATGTGCAGCTGCTCCCTCACTCTCTTGCCCTGACCAGCTCTCTCTCGAAAGCAGGGCTCATACACCCCATACTGCGCTGCACCTTTGAACATTCATAGGTGAAAAAAAACATAGAATGAATTAACCAATCTCATTAGATTCACGTGATTTTATAATATTCTTTGAATTTCTGGCTGCATTAACTCCTGCGATTTTCAACTGTCTAGCTACAGATCTCTGGTAATCAAGATATGGCCCCTCCCTGCCTGCTCTTGCATCAATTAACACCGCTCTGTCCTCAACCTGACATCCTGCCTTCCTCTCCATAGAAATCTCTGCTGCAACGTCGTCTTTAGTTTATTTTTCTATAGAAATATTCGCAGCCAGTGTGCATTGATTTCAGTGCAGTGTTGGGCTCTTCATGTCCTTGGTTATAAACTTATCCCTGAGCGGGAGCATCATAGTATTTGCGCAAGAAGCACTGATTTTGTACATTACAAAGTCAGTGCTCTTGCGCAAATTCAAGCGGCCAGGGTAGACAGCTGGCAAGTTTTTGCACAAAATCTTGCCAGTCTAGATGCAGCCTTAGGGTATGTCTACACAGCAGCGTTATTTCGACATTTCGAAATGATGGTGAGCTGGAGGACTTCCTACTCCAACTCCTGTAACCCCTTGTGTTCCAAAGAGTAAGGGAAGTCAGAGGAAGAGAGTTCTTTCTCAAATTTCCTCCTGCTGTGCAGACAGCGCCAAAAACTGAGTTAAGCCATTTCGACTTCAGCAACGTAATTGACATAGCTGAAGTTGTCATTTAATTCGGCTCTAGTCCTGCTGTGCAGACGAGCCCTTCATGCAGGGGTTGGTAATAATTTTTGACTTGGAAAGTGGTCGATTGGTTTGACTTGATTTGTTCTTTACAAATCCATGCTGGCTGTTACCTATCACCTTATGATCTTTCAGATGTTTGCAGATGATTTCCTTAATTACTTGCTCCATTATCTTCCTTGGCACAGAAGTTTAACTTACAGGTCTGTAGTTTCCTGCATTGTTCTTATTTCCCTTTTTATATGTAACCCCTCTGCCAGGTAGGGCCGGCAGCAGTCAGGGCCAGGTTCAATATCTAAGGGTCCATCTCACACAGAACCGGCTCGAGCCCCCACCCAGTAGCCTGGGAAATTCACACACCCCTGGGTGCCTCTAAGAGGCAATACTTCCCCACTCGCAAGCACTGAGTCTGAGTATAGAAAGAAACTTTTAATGAAAGAGAGAGAGAGGGAGGTCACATGGCATTAACTTGGGAAAATACCACAAACAGAGTTCATAAACGCCCCCCCTAGTAAACATCTGTCAGAGGGTACGCCCCAGACGGGGGCTGCTGCCCCCTTTTACTGACCCGCGTCTTAGTCCGGGCCTATACCGCACCCCAAAGTCCCCAAAAGTTCAGGCCTCTCTATCAGGGGATATACGGTATCAATGTCCCAACACAAAGTTCAGGCCCCTCTAACAAGGGATATACGGTATCAATGTCCCAACACAAAGTCCAGGCCCCTCTATCAGGGGGATATAGGATATCAATGTCCCAACACAAAGTTCAGGCCCCTCTATCAGGGGATATATGGTATCGGAGACCTAGTCCCTCAGGGAAGCCTCTCCTTGCCCTGCTGACTGCCTGCTGCCGCTTCAACTGGTCGCCTGCCGGTCGATCCCGCCAGCCACTCCGCTGGATGCCTGTCCCCACCGGCCCCCCCCCGCCCCTCCCCCCGCGCGGCCCCCCCAGCCGCTTCACTGGCTGCAAGGAGTCTGGCTCCAGGCCAAACCAAGTGACTTCAGCTCTTAGGCTACATCTACACTGGCAGCTTCTTGTGCAAAAACTCTTCCACAAGAGAGCGTCTACACTGCCATATACTTTTGCACAAGAACGTCCATGGCAGTATAGACACTCTCTTCCTCAAGAAATAATTCTCTCAAACCACCTTTGAGTTATGTATATTCATGTCCATGAGTCCATTTCATAAAGCATGGAGGCAGAGAGGGGAGGGTCTGTCACAGACTGGTGATGTTATGCCAGTAGAAAAAACTGCTGTGCATATGGGCTGCATTTAAGCGAAGGGAGCTATGCTGGCTCAGCTATGTCAACACGGGCTCTGGAGTGTAGATGCATCCTTGGCTTTCATGTAAAAAGTGTTTGAAGTCCTCAGGTTTGCAGAGAAAAGGCTGAAAACATGACCCGAGTGTGTCCTCATGTCTCAGAAAACAAAGGCAAATAACAAGACTCAAACAAACTATTGTTTATTTCTCTTTCATCTCATTATTATAAGGAAGTCTTGTGATTTTTTTAAAATTTGGCTCCTGATGTTGCTACGTCTGAGGCTGGCTGTGCCCACGGGATGAAGAATTTTTTGTCCTTGTAGTGTCTTTTGGACGCTAAGATTCATTTTTGCAGTTTCGCAAAACTAAGGAGGAGGCAGCAGCCAGCAGGAGATTATTCTGAGTACCTCCCAGTGCCTCAACTGGCCACTGGGAGGTACTCATCAGAGGGGAATTACATGAGGAATTTTGTTGCAGCTACACCAGACTAACATGGCTGCATTTCTATCACTATGAGGAATCCAGGCACCTCACACATCTCAGTCTAGAACAGGGGTCCCCAATGCGGTGCCTGTGGGCACCATGGCACCCTCTGGGGCATTTATGTGCACCCACGATAATCTGGGACAGCCCCACCCCCAGCGTGTGGCTCATGGGTGGCCCCATCCCCAGGGCACATGCCGGCTCTGGGCGCAAGGCGCTCAGGCCACTCCAGCCCCAGGGCACATGCCGGCACCGGCGCTGGGCGCAAGGTGCTCGGGCTGCCCCGGCCCCGGGACACATGCCTGCACTGGCCCTGGGCATGAGGCGCATGGACGGCCCCGTCCCCTGGCGTGCCCCCGGACATGCGGCCCTGCCCCCGAGCACCTGCCACCTGGCAGCCCCAAAAGGTTGGGGACCACTGATCTAGAATAATATTGGTTATATAGTCAATGTATCTTGCAAAAACTGTGTAAACATTAACCGTGTGTGACCCCAGACGTACAGTGCCTTAGAACCTAAGAACAGTCAGACCGGGTCAGACCAGAGACCCATCCAGCCCAGTGTCCTGTCTGCCCGCAGTGGCCAATGTAAATGTCCTGGAAGGACTGCACAGAACAGGGGACATCCCTGGCAAACAGAGGCTCGGGACATGCTCCTTGCCTATCCTGGTTAATAGCCCTTGAAGGACCCAACCTCCATGAATGTATCTAGTTCCTTTTTGAACCCTGTTATAATCCTAGATTTCGCCACATCCTCTGGCAAGGAGTTCCACGGGTTGACTGTGCCTGCATCAAGAGCTTCCTTTGGTTTGTTTTAAACCTGCTGCCTATTCATTTCATTCAGAGACTTCTAGTTCTTGTATTTTGGGAACAAGTAAATAACTTTTCTCCGATCAGATATTGTCCTTCCCTTTCAACTCGTGTACCACGACCTTTATTTGAAATATTCACTGTAATGCAATATTTCAATCTGCTCTTACCTGTTGAGTTTCCGATGTGTTCTCCATCTCATTTGAGAACTCTTTATGTGAAATGATTTTGGAACACAGAGGGGGGGGACGTTGTTGTTTGGGGGAGGGGAAGTTTTGCCGTTCACTTTATGACAGTCGGCAAATGCAGGGAGAAGAGTCTGTGAATTCATTTCGGGACTCAGGCGCCGGAGGAGCTGGGCGCTTGTCAGTGTAGACACACGTGGGGGGCGGGGCTGTTTCTTTAAGAGAAGAGGGGCAGCTCCCCACGTGACGGGATATGAAAGTTACAGTGTCACTTTCACTTTCCATCAGGCGGATATTGCTGTAGCCATCTGGGCGCACCGGGAGCGCTGCGAAAATGCAGGAAAAGCCCCGAGAAAAGCGGAGGGCGCCTGGTGGTCGGGAGTAGGGAGCAGCCTGACCCGGGGAGCAGCCAGGGGACGCATCCGCCCGATTGTAAAGTTCAGAGACGATCCAGCCAGGCAGGTACGTTTTGCTTCAGGGAAAAGCTGCTTATCACCTTTAACGCGCGGTCCTTGGACAGCTGGTCGGGAACACACGGGCTAAAGCATCCCCTGCTCCTTCGCTTCGCTCTGTCGGGAAATTGCCCAGAGCTTCTGCGTTCCTAGTGATTTCCGATCACACACCGCGCCGGTTGATTGCGGGGCCGAGTGTCACAGGAAACTCGAATTAGGAACTTGTGTCTTTTGCATTTTATTCAAGAAAAGTGCGCCCTAAACGGTTCTCACGGGAGATTTGTAACCAAGAATGTCCTGTGTCTTGAATGCCCGGACCTTACTGCACAAACCTAGTTTTCCCTTTCCTGGGGCGGGGGGGGATGAATCCTTTTGCTTTTGTAAAAACTAAAATCCTGCTCAGAATCAGTCAAAAGAGAAAACTGAAGCTTGTTTATTTTCTTTCTGAAATTAGTGGGAACTACGCATGTGTCTAAATCTGATCACTGAGTAGGGCCCTACTAGAAAGGTGAAATGTAGACATTGTGTAATTGTAACGGATCATTTCCCTCTGTAGCAAAGCCACTTAGGGAGTAATAACCTAAGGAAACCTATAGGAGTACAGCTGTTAAAAATGTGGTGTTGTGAAATGATATGTTATGCTTTTCTCTTGGGTAAAACACTTTGGCTTATTTTTCAATTTTAAAATTTAGATTTTAGGTTTTTTTTAAAGTTTTCTGTTTTTCTCCCTTTTTCTATTTAGAAAGGATAAGGAATGGGTGAATAAAATGTTTTTATTCTGCTTGATTAGGCTTTCTCACTTTGAATCAATTTGTTTTTTTTTTCATTTACCATCAATTTCATTGAAAAATCAGTTTTTAAAAAGAAATCTAAGAGTGGTGGCAGTCACTGGCTAAGCACCTGGAACCAGAAGGGCTCAGACAGTTTTTGAAAGCAGTAACCTCTTCAGCAGGTGTGGAGAAAATACTTTCTTCATTTCAATGTACCTAGTTAGCCCAGTTCCATGACTCATCCATTCACTGATGAGAAGCCAGCTGGGAGTTGAAAAAGCAGGAAAGTTTTTCATCTTCCAACCAATCAACAATAACAAGATGAGTCTACTTTCCCTAAAATTTTGAAGGACATGGTAACCAGGAACAAATCAGCTCAGTTCACTGACCACAGATAATAAATAGTTCCTTGTCTAGCAGATCAGATTTAACTGCAAAATATGTTTTGCTAAAGCATTTTTCTCTTTCCTGTCTTCTTGCCCAGATCATGTGACTGAAGATGAACGTTCTTTCATTCTGTAGTAGCTCTGCAGTCAGCTCCTCTCTGCCTGGTTTGATCATTTTCTTCATTACTTATCACATTCAGAAGCTGGAATCAGGTAGGAATCCCACTGCTCTTCCTGCTGCTTTTAGGATCTGTCTTATCATCTCTTATATATTTTGAAGAGTTTGTTTGTGGATTTGTTTGTGCGAAATAAAGTCATACTCCACGATTATCTACAGATACCAAATTTTGCATAAACAATCTTGATACTTTAATTAGCTGAATGCACTACTTTTTACACTGGATGAAATGTTTACATTAATATTTCTCAAAGTGGTCTGCGAACCTGCTCTGAGGAAAAACCAGAGAAGCTCAATAGCAGCTTTCTCAGAGTGGGTCTGTGGACCACTTTAAGAAACACTAGTTTAAATAATTATTATTCTTTTTCATCAGAAAAAAGTCATGTCTATTATGATTAGAGTTCACAAATATTTGCTAACAAAACTAATATTGAGTCACCTATACAACTGACATTTTAGTGCAAAGAAAATCTCTACTGTTACAAATCACAAAATAATTCAAATTAGTTATAGAAAGAGTAATGGAAGCTTTTCAAGTTCTCATTCAAATTTATGAGGTACAGTAATTATTCAATACAATGAATACTGTTTGAAGTCGAAATCCTACCAATTTAAAACGGTTCTTTTACTTCCTTTTTGCAAGCACATTAATAAATAACTCTATTCTGCATATTTCATTTCTTGAACTTTCCTATAAGTGTAATCTGCGCAAAATAACTTTGCCTGGTCAATGAAGGGCCTCACCTGCAAGTGATGTATAAATTATGCCTATTCCACCTTGTACAAAATGGGGGGGGGGGGGGGAAAAAAAAAACAAAAACCAC